CCGCGTGTGCTCGTTTGAATTTTCCACAGAGTTTCCACGAAGCTCGGACATGTCAAACATCTAATTCATTTCAGCGATCGATCAGAAATCATGCGCCGAGAGCAACTGATGTCGCATACGTCTGTAGACTTAATTAAGCAAGATCAAGTTGTTACTTATAAAGTCATTGAGCTTTTTCTTTTTTTTTTGTTTTTTTTTTTCATAAAGAATTTCGCCGAAACTCGTGGCTTTCGTAGTTCTCTGTACGATTTTTTAATATATTATATAGTATTTTATATATTTTTTATATATAATATTCTTTATATATAATTGTTTTACATGTAAATGTTTTTGTTATTTTGTTATTTTATATCAAATACCTTACGATGATTCCGGGGCATTCTGCGTATACAATTATATTTATATATTACGCACTTTTATATTCGATTTCTTACTCGCGATTCAAGTGGAATTTAGCCTTGAACTAGCATGTAGTTAGACTATATATAGCGATACATTGTACATTGTTCAATCGAGGAAAGGTACATTACATAGTCGGGCAGTTTCATTACAATCGATCAGCACATGATGCCTATTGATACACTCACACACACACACACACACACACACACACACACACACACACACACACACACACACACACACACACACACACACACACACACACACGACAACGGTACTCGCGACGGCGAACAGCTGCTGGCACAGAATCCCGCTTATCCATTCTCGCAGTGTGTCAAACGGAATTTTAGATAAAAGCCTGTCCGCACGTCGAAGGTTCTCCGCTTGACCTGCGTCTGGCAAGGGCAGATAAGGGTGTTCAGTTTCCCGGCGATTTCTCAGCTGGTCGCTCTCGGAATCAAATCGGCAGGGAAGCCGAAGGCGGCGGATTCATGTAGAGATATGGTCTTCCTCTCTTTCTTTTTCTCTCTTCTTCTTTCTCATCGTTTCATTCGTTAATACTCGAAACTGATAACCGCAAGGATCGTTACTCGACGTGGTTATTTAATAGCAATTTGCGTTAATCAAGTTATTGATGGAACATGCACACAAAAGTTACCGATAATACCAACAATGTGTTTATTCTGGCTATAATTATATTATCGCACGATTACACTCGCTAATATAATATACTAAAGATTTCTTTCTCGACACGTGACGCGTTTCGAGATTGACGACGCATGAAATTCGGCAAAATTATCTCGCGATGATACATCGTTTCGCTTCTGGATATCCATTGCGTTCTTTTTTTTTTTTTTTTTTTTTAGCGACTACGCAGGACACTTCATCACAACTGCGTTTTGCGCGAATACTTAAATCCAGTTAAACGCCTGGGAAAATCGAGTCTCGCCGGCGAATTAATGCAGTGACGTAAGCACCGTCTTTATTAAGGCCGATTAACATTGCACGCGAATGTGCAATCATCATCGTCGACCATTCGACCTGTATTCAGCCCTCCTCCTCGCCGTTTATGCGTCGCACGATAAGCAGCGTCGTTATCAGTCACTTTCATTTACGAAATGAGTAAATGTATCGTCTGATCTACCGTGTGATAAGAAATACTCAGATCAAGGAAAAAAACGTCTTTCGTTGAAGGAAGTTTTTGCGGCACTTATCGTCGAAGCTTTCTCTCGACTTTATTAATCGAACTTAATTAATCGAAATTCAATTAAATTGGTTATTCTCGTTAAATAGACTAAAGAAAAAAATTTAGCATTTGTAACTATAACTACATAGCGAAAGAAACATAAATATATATTGTCAAGAAAGTCCCATTTTTCCAGCAAGTGTTACCGTAATGTCAGTAGTAACAATTTTACATGCATATTGTTACACGGAAAAAAAGATGTCAACGATGCCGCGACTGTTACCGAGAAAATCCCTCTGAACATTCAATTTAAAGCTCGGTCGAGGTAGCTGAAAACAATTGATTGACTAGAAATCCCCCGCGGAAATTTCTCTCTGTTCCGAACCGAGTTTTCCATTTGGTCTATTCTCTATTTCTTCCAGATAATGGAAGATTCACTTACACTAACGGAATCGTCTCTTCAGGGTATTACTATCCCTTTGTCAGAAGCACAGAAAGATGCAGTCAACGTCGAAAGGGACGTATAATTCTAGCGGGATTAAGCATTTTTCCTCATTCTTCCGTTAGTTAGCGGTCTTTTCTTTATTGTTACACTTACACATCGGCCAGTCCTGCAAGATCATTTGTTGTAAAGCATTGGCCGCGTTCAGCAGAAATAGCTGCTTACTAAGCGCTTAGTGATTATCGCTCCTGATTGCTTCATTCCCTTGGATTCGTTAAAGATCTAAAAGAGTACTCCAATCATAATTAATAATCACTAAGCGCTTAATAAGCAGCTTTGTCTGCTGAACGCGGCCATTTGTTGCAAAACAAATGTAGGCTGTTTTCGCGCAACTTCCTGCCGTGTACACCGAATCTTTCTCCACAAAGCAGTATGTTGTGATCGTTGACGGTCGCCGAGATTCGACGCGCTCTGAGGAAATCCCGAGCGAAGTTTCATCACGCGCGCAATATGCGCTCGTGAGTAGTTTTCACTTCGCAGGGGGTTCCCCTTTTTTGTTCCTTCTTTCTTTGCGCAGCTTATTACGGACCGAGCAGAGCCGCGATTTTTCAAATTCGCGGTCCCAACCCGCGGTAATCCGGCCTCGTTGCATTCTCGACGAGGTCGAGGTTTATTTTCAGAGCACGACGTCGTTACGCAGCCGTCGAGCTTCTCTCACGTATGTCTGTAAATAAGCGCATTTTCATTCTGGATGATAAGTGAAGACCTTACAATCGATTTATCGGCGTACGACCGCGCGTACCGATAACAAATAATTTACGGGCAATCGACCGTGTGGTTGGCAACAATTTTGCGCAATGAGCTCGACTACACCAACAAGCCGTTCGGCGTGTAATTTCAGTTTTTGCGTTGTTTTGTTCTTCGTTATTTACGGTCACGTATGGTTCACGTTGCTCGACAGAAAATGCGGGATAAAAGTGCGAATTAAATTTCGGCGAAAGGACTGACAGACGGTGAAAAATGCGGTAGAATCTTAATAACGAAGAGCCCCCGCTAATTACTCCGAATAATTGTATCGAGTAAATATTTAGCGAAGGAGCATCTCGAAAAGCACGAATGACCACGTGTCGAAGACTATAGCTATAGTTCATATTTGTCAATAATGACAACGACATGCCAGAGTAGGTCAACGTGTTATTGTGGTTATCGGAAGTTAAGCTCACGGGAAGTTGGCACCGATTTTTCGGCATTCTGCAGATAATGAGATTATTTATGAAATCACGTTTACGTGAAATTTTCGTTGCGTAAATTTGAACAGATCGCGTAAGATGTGTATCGCGCGTTAAAATAATTCAATCAATCATTATCCAAATTAATTTTTCTAGACTGTTAAAATCTGGCTTGTAATCATTTCACACTTTACGTCATCGTCACCATTATTATTCTGCAATTTATTTTAATCGGCTTCAGTTGTAAAAATACATATATTATAAAATTTATTCATGCATTAATTGGTTCGCACATATCTCTGAATAAGAAAAAAAGAAAAGATAAATAGTTGCGTCCTTTTCAACGAAATTATATTACATGAGTAATATGTTCGCGTAATGAGAGAGACCACCCGTCGTAATCCTTAATTGGAGCATTCAAGTCGGGACGTTTTCAAGCTGGATAATGATGAGCGAGAATTCGAGAATTATTAGACATAACGATGAAATTACGTTTAAACGTATCAAAGAATTCGAGTTATCTTGTGAAATTTATTGGTTTGAATCATAAGTTATTATCTGAGAAAAATAGATTCATTTAATTTCTTTCCTTGAAAATTAGACAAAGATTGATAACTAGCTACCTGCTCTTTTTCCAAACTTCTTCATGACGGAACTATTTATATATATATAGTTCTAGTTAGGGTCATAGAATATCTCAAGTTATCGCGAAGCATTCTTGGAAATAACGTTTGTTATACTAGTTGTTTGAGCAATCTTATCATAAATTCAAACTGATGAGTTTAATAGATATTAATAGAAGATAAAGATATATATATGGGGCTCATTGTTTAACTAGATAGATATTTCTTATCGATGATATATAAAGTTGTGGAAAACGAAAACATAAAGCATGTAAGTATCAGAACAATAAAGGTTTGCCGATATTTAAGTAAAATAATCTCCAAGACAAAATTATTTTTGATAATCATTCGATTTACTAAGGGAATACAGATATCATCAGCGACATAGTTTCTAAAAATTACACATAAAAACTTCAAATATTGCTTTGTTCCAAGATAAACTTGTTGTTCCTTCTTTCGACGGGCCTTCCGACGACTTGTATGCAATTATCTCGAGTCATTTGTCAAAACAGTGTATGAACACTCGTCGAATTTGTCCTCGCAGACTTTCACGCCGCTTTATCGCAATAATGAATTATGTATTCTTTCCGCAATACACTCCTAATTCCGATAACAAATATGTATTTTAATGTCTGGCGTTCGCGTGAATATACGATACGGAAAGACGAAACCTGTTTTAACGATGACTATTAAACGTTTCAGCATATTATGTAAAAAACCAATAAAGTAGACCGATAAAGAAAAAAAAAGTAGAGAGAGAGAGAGAGAGAGAATAACAAATAAGCAATGTCCGTGTTAGAAAAAATACGTGTATGTTACCACAGGATATTTTAAAGACTTCTTTTTAGTCTTTATGTTGTCTAGATACATTAGAATACATAATTCGTTTTGATCGAATTGATCAAATTCAGATATTTAGAATATATTGTTAAATTGGAGTAATAAAGCTTTCTCTTTTTTAAAGAAAATATTCTGTGCTTTCTCTTATCTTTTCCCGTAGAGAATCGCCATCTTTCTAATGCAGCACTGTCTATTAAGAGACATCCAGTTTGAACAACTTTTGCAATTAACTAGCTAATGTAACTTATGATTATAATTATACTATATGTGCTTTTCAGGTATAAGTGCCTGCGAAAGGAAGTCCTTTATATTTCTGAGGAAGGAGTTGCCGGTTAGACTCGCCAACATTATGAAGGAAATTCACTTGCTGCCGGATAATCTACTGAAGATGCCTAGCGTGGGTATCGTGAATAATTTGTACGCCACATCTTTTGAGGAGATTATACACTTTGAAAAAGTAGAGATCAACGACGATAATTTGTACAAGTGAGTATGCAAGTTGAGCCATACTTTCGGATAGACATCTTTAAAGCCGTCTTTTCCTTTGTAGGTTCTGTCAGGCTCTGATAAAGATTCGGAATAGACACACCGACGTCGTTCAAACGATGGCACAAGGCGTCTTGGAGCTAAAGGAATCCCACGACGTGGATGTTCAGACCGAGAATAGCATTCAATATTTCCTCGATAGATTTTTCATGTCGCGCATTTCCATTCGTATGCTGATCAATCAGCATAGTGAGTAGACACGCGCTATGTTGGAAAATCGAATCAAAATTGTATCGGTATTCTATAACTCACGTTTTCGACTCCTGCTATGTTTCAGCGCTCCTTTTCGGTGGAATAAATGGGCATAATAGACACGTAGGATGTATAGACCCGTCCTGTGACGTGATAGGCGTCATTAAAGACGCCTATGAGAACGCACGATTTTTATGCGATCAATATTATATGGCTAGCCCGGAACTGATAATCAAGCAATATAATGGCAAGTGTGAACTATGTTGATTGTACTAAGTGTTACACGCTAGTAAGTAGTTTGGTATAAACGATTTTCTGTAGAGGTAGATTCCTTCTATATGTATCGCATAGTCGTAACCGGCGTCGTTGTTATTCCTACATGTCCTATTATGACAAGATGCATACTATACGTAATACGCATTAAAATAAAATGTATGATATTAAAGGGCTCGAAAATCTCAAAAGAGATAATAGCGACAGAATTAGTTTTGGATCTCTCTCTAATTGTTATCCGTTCCGTTTTCCAGAGCTTGAACGCAGTAGTGAAATTAGGATAATTTATGTGCCGAGTCATTTATATCATATGCTATTCGAGCTGTTCAAGAATAGCATGCGAGCTGTGATGGAGCACCATGGAGAGGACTCGGACAATTATCCAGCGGTGGAGGTCATGTTGGTGCGCGGTAAAGAGGATATTTGTGTGAAGGTGCGGCAAGAGCGGCGGTTTCACGCGCACCAATTGCACCAGAAACTTTTTTTTCTTTCTTAAATATATAACGTTTTCATCTAATTGGAAAGATACTTAATTTTTCAAACGTACGGGCACGCGTGGAGAAATATTGAAGAATTAACAATGCACAAATATAATGCAGTAAATATAAATTAGAAATGAAGCAGTTAGTCAATTTTCCGGCTTGTTCCAGATATCAGACAGGGGTGGCGGGATACCTCGCTCGCAAACGGACCATTTATTTAAGTACATGTACAGCACCGCTCCACAACCGAGTAGATCGGACGCGCATACAGTGCCGCTTGCAGGTTACGGTTACGGACTTCCATTGTCGAGACTGTACGCTAGGTATTTGCACGGCGATATTGTTTTACTCAGTTGTGAAGGCTACGGAACAGACGCTATTATTTATTTAAAGGTACAGCGTCATAGATTTCGTCGTGAAGAATATGAATGCGGAAAGTAGAGGAGAGGTTCTTGAAAATGTAAAGGAGAAAGGCTAATCGAATCTTTATATTTTCAGGCCTTGTCCACTGAGGCGAACGAGTTGTTACCAATATTCAACAAAACTTCGTCGAAATTCTATCGCACACCGATACCTATTGCGGATTGGAGCAGTCAGTGCGGTGGAGGAATGGCCACTAGGCAACTCAGTATGAGTCACGTTCAAAGCCACAGACTCCCTCACGGGATGCAAGGTAGTCACAGCTAGCAGAGCGCGATCGATACGGACCAGGAGACGATAGAGTGAGTAATTCATAATATGGCAAACGAAAACACTCGTTAGCATGTTCGCTTCAAAGCGGCTAAATACGTTTCCTTTCTTCTTACAGAGAAATTCGAAAAATCTTCTGACTTCGTAGGATCGCAAGAAACGATGCTTACATTTCCTCGACTATTCACAGGGAGGAGATAAATTTATATACGAAGTAAACAGGAGAATATAGGACTGCTCTACACACATGAGAGACAATTAGCCGTTAAACTAATCAGATATTATATTATATTGGCCGAAAATAATATTCATAATTTTGTTTGTGCTGTAATTACATTACATATCAAATCAGTTATTTGAATTTGATATATTAAATTTTTTATTTCTATCGTATTTTATATACGTGTGTGTGTATGTATGTATATATTTACGTCTATATACGTACATGTAAATATGTAAATATGTACATGTATTATGAATGTATGTACAGCAGAATTATATACATACATATGATTCTGTCATACATTCCTATACACATATACACACATGTATATGTATGTATGTATATAGTAAAAATATAGCATAGACTTTTGGCACAACCATAGAACATCAAATTATATATGTAACTTTAACCTCTTTGGAGATAAATTTTTACTAAAGTTGGTATAATGTGATTACACATATAAATATGACATCTGTCTATTGTTACTATGCGATGAAATTTCATTTCCTTGCTGAAAGATGTCATGATGAATATTTATTCACAATAATGATTTTTTAGCGTCTTTGTTAATATCTTTGTTAACAATAGATAAAAAAGAAAGATTAAATACAGACACCTGAGTATATCCTGAAGAAATTAATACTCGCAAAAAATGTTAATTAAATATATTTTAAATATGGCGTCATACTTGTCCTTTATATGGGCCAAGTTAAATTCGAATAAAAACCAAGTATTAATTAAAATCTTATTTGTTTCAAATATAAAATCAAATTTGGACTCAGTTTTAGATGCATATTAAATATTAATATGATTTATACATGCGTTAAACAAAGTTAATCTAATAGCAGGATTATATTTAAATTTAATTAGATGCATATTAAGAACATATTTAGATTAAATTACTCTTTAATTTAATATTTGGTTTTTATTTGAGTTTAACTTGGTCTAAATATGAGCCGTATTTAAAACATATTTAACCATTTTTTGTAGATATCATTAATCTCTTCAGGATATATTCAGATTCTGATATATATATACACACACACACACACACACACATATATATGTATGTATATATATCTCGAGAGGTTAATGATATTATCATGGGGTTTATAATTGATCCCAAAAAAGAAGGAAAAAAGAGAGTCTTATGATAAACTTTGATGAGTGCTAATTTGTTATATAACGCAGAAATATCTAAATGAGCGAGAAAAATTGGACTATGGCTGTTTATAATATTAAAAATAATATCAAGACTTAATAATAAGCCTTAATGCAAAACTAATATTGAGACTTAATATTAAGACTTATATTATCAAATTGATATCAAAGTTGTATATTTGAGTGCATTTGGCCTTATCTTAATAATTATATCGTATAAATCACATAAGCATTTTTTAAAATGAAAATGAATTTAGGAAACTGTTTTCATTATGTTAAGAGGCAATAACGGAATGTTCGACGAAGCATTCTAGACTAGTTCCGGATCTACCTTAAGGAAAGTTTTCTGATGTGACCACATTAGAAAATTAATTGTACATTTGGTTATACAATTATTCATTTGTATAATTAGATTTGATCTTGCAAAAAAATTTAAATATTAAAATCTTTTATATCAACATAGTAAGTGTTTTCTTTTTGGTTCTTATTCAGATTTAACGAATTTTCTAATACCGATGTATGTACTAGCTCGGTATTTGTTATATTTTCAACACAATGTTCTCCGAATTTGATAAATATATCAAACTTTCTACTGTCTGCTTCCTCGCTATTTTTTTTTTTCCAGCGAGGATTCGATCAGAAGCAACAACCTGATGCAATTTTGAAACCACGGAAAAGCTAAGTGTCAACATTCAATGGATTGTTTGAAAACATGGCAAACGTGAAATCTTGATTTTGCCATTAAATAATTATGTCTATTCAACTGTATACGTGCATATAGTACATAAATTATAATTTTATAACCACACCGCTCATCCAGGATAACCAAAGAGAGACCGAAGAAAGAATGACGTATTTTATATATCCGACAAAAATATTTTGTAGTATACAAAAATTTATGGCCGACTGTCGCGTTGTTTACAACGCGTTTTTTCATTGCATTTTTTACAAGCGAATTAACTTTATACGGGTCGAAGATTTTACACAGAAATCAATCTCTTAGTACCATCATGTGCTCTAAAATATCTGCGTTATCATTTTTTTCGATTGTGTTTCAATTATACTTTCATATTTTCTTCTTCTTGCATAGATGCACATTTTAACATAAATTTTGAATATATTTCAGTGGCGTAATATTCTCATGATATCTCTTTGTCCGACTATTAATCTCAAGAATATCACATGAGAATGTCGCAAGAAATAATTCTTTTTAAATGGTCTTACAAATATCAGCGGCGTATTGTTTGCATCTATTTTAAAATCGTCGATTGTTTCCACACAGGGAGAACTTTCGTTGCGCAAATATCTTGGGGCGATAATGTTATCTTATAAATTTGTATAGTGCATAATGTTGAGATAAGAATGTTAATAGCGCGAAGATAAACGAATCACTCGTGATTATTATGCACATTTTTTACGATACGTCGCGGTATTTCAAGCATACAAGCTTGAAACTGTTCCTAATCTTACTAGAGCATTGCGCGTTCACGTATGTATCATGCGGTATTTATATTTCGTTATATTTCAAAGATTATAAATATGTTGAGTGAGGCGAGATGATTTGTATATTGCCTGCCGGTGTGCGTGTGTGTACATAAAAGATATCCCAAAAGACTATTGTACGATACTTTAAAAAGTTTAATAGCTTAGTCTGAGAATGAATTAGAGCTGAAGATCCTAACATCGATCTTTCAATTATAAGCATAAGTTAAATTTTATCAATGTTACACGCAGATTTCGTAAGTCCGTATAACTGCGCATGAACGGCCGTTATTGATTTTCCCAGATATTTTCTTTTAATCCCAAGATATTTACATTCTGCCTCTTTTTGGATAAGCGAGTGTTATAAATAAGCATTTTTGAACAAGCAAGTGTTATAAATAAGTATTTTTTTAAATATTAAAATACATCAGCGTAATATTAGACATGTAGATCTACTGATTGCTACTGTCGTATACTAAATTCTCTACACTGCAAATATAGTATAAGTAGTTGTTTAAAATATTATTTATAACATTGATTATTATTCAAAACACGAGACAGATGGTAAATATTCTGGAATTAAAAAAGATTATTGAAGGAAATCAATAACGGCAAATTGATACACGGTGGTTTACGTGCAGTTATGCGGATTAATATTGATAAAATTTAATCATGTAGCGTTACATGTGACTTGTCCAAGTTAATTAGCGAATAAATTAAATCTTGTATCGAACTTTAACAGCTTATATCTTTTAAATCTCTGCGTATCCTTTCCTTGTTTCGGTGATTCTGTAAGCAGGCTATTGGGTATATACCAGGTATGTAAATATGAAACCGGAATTTTTGTATAGAAAATACACGTTTATTGTATGAAAATGATAAAAAATATTTTATTCGAAGTATTGCCCATTGCTAGCTATACATTTTTCCCACCTGTCTGACAATTTGTGGATGCCACGTGAAAAAACGGTTGTTCTTTTGAGGCAAACCGGCCATCGAGCCATTTTCGTAAGAAGTGAAGCGCTGCTCAGCAAGTGCGTGTCCCATCGATGCAAATAAATGGTAATCGGACGGAACCAAGTCTGGTAAGTAAGCCGCATGCGAAAGTATTTCCCAACTAAACGCCTCAATCATTTCCTTGACCAGTTTTGCTGTGTGTGATGGTGCATTATTATGAAGCAAAATCACTTTGTGTTGCCTTTTTTGATATTCTGATCGTTTTTCACGCAAAGCTTGATTCAAATCAATCATTTGTTGTCGGTAGCGTTCAGTATTAACGGTTTCGCCAGGTTTTAGCAGCTCATAATAGATCACACCCTTCTGATCCCACCAAACACAGAGCATTGTCTTCCGTCCATAGCGATTTGGCCTTGCAGTCGATGTTGATGTTTCGCCTGGAATTACCCATGATCTTTTACGCTTAGGATTCTCAAAATATATCCACTTTTCATCGCCAGTCACAATTTGATGGAGAAATGATTTTCTTTTGTACCTGACGAGCAGCATTTCGCAAGTGGTTTTTCGGTTTCCCTGCTGTCTTTCATTCGGCTCATGTGGAACCCATTTTCTCATCTTCTGGATCTTTCCCATGGCTTCCAAACGTATGGGGACGGCTTCTCTTGTCACATTTAATTGATCCGCGAGTTGTTGTTGCGTTTGAGCGTCATCCTCATCCAACAATGCTTGCAATTCGCTGTCTTCAAACTTTCTCGGTGGTCTTCCACGTTCTTCGTTTTTCACGTCAAAATCGCCACGTTTGAATTTTTTAAACCACTGAAAGCACTGTGATTTACCAAGAGCATGCTCACCGTAAGCTTCGACAAGCATTCGATGCGATTCTGCAGCAGTTTTCTTCAAATGGTAGCAGAAAATCAATGCTGTCCGCAAATTGTAGCTTCCAGGCACAAAATTCGACATGTTCAACGCTATTACAAACTATACTGTTGTATGAAATTTGTATTGTTGCGAGTTGAAAATCTTTGTCAGATGTCAACAAATGGAAATGGCGCGGTTTGACGATAACTACATTGACAGCTAGGGCCATCTATGGGCAAATTCCGGTTTCATATTTACAGACCTGGTATATCTAACATACTTCTTGCCATAATTTTTATATCTTTTTTTATTATGCTTGAGATTTGAAGTTCTTAATTCCTTTGTTTGGGA